TTTCCCTAGAGTTGCATAATGTGTATTTTGAGCATCCTGATTGTATGTCTGCTCCAACACTTTTCCTAGGCATTTGTGCCTATGACTTTTTCATCAGGGTGTTACATGAGTGTATTTAGACTTCGGAATGCTAGTAAGTGTGACCGAAAAGATGACTTTTTTCTGTATTTTTTTTTATTGAAACTTTACAAAAATATTTATCAGCTCCTGTGGATGAACATTATTAGCAGCAGTGAGCAATTTCTAAAATCTGTTCTGCATGGCTTTTCCTTGGAAATTTATTCCTACATATAATCATCCCCTTAGCCTCTTGTTTATTCCTTGTGACCGCTCCAGGTAAAACATGTATTTCCAAAGTTGAAAAGTAATTGTAGGAACAGTATTTGTGATGCTAACTGGGTGTCTCAGAAGTATGGTTACAAAGATGGAAAAAAGAGCTGTCCTTCCTGTGTTTCCAGTTCAGGCTTCTAATTTTACATCTCCTCATTTATAGTTCCAAAAATCTGGGTGAGGCGTATGTGCTACAACTTATCACTAATTTTACAGTTAATAAAATTTCTCATCTACAACAAGATATCTGAAACCAGAATGTAAGGTTGTTTTCATCATTATCTTCAAACATGGGAATAGTTTTTTTATCACTAGACTACACATTTCCTTTTCTTCTTTTTCTCTTGAAGAGAAGATTGTTGAGATAAAGAAGGTTTTAAGTGACTTTTAGCAGCATTTGCAGAGACAAGTATTGTAAGCAGTAACCCTTGTTTCTTCTGTGTGTTCTTAGTTGTTCTGTTATGAGCAGGTATCTGCTGTGCTGGCACAACAGCTCTTGATCAGTCTGTCCATTATTCACATAACCCTGGGCATGCAGAAATGAGAGAAAAAATTGGCATTCTCTGTATTCCCTATTGTTTAATAACTCAGCCAGTGTGCACTTAACATGCATTGAACTTATTGCACTCTTCTAGCCTTGCACATGTGATCTGTTCCTGCAGACACTTAAGTTTGATTTTTCTGTCATTAATTTCAGAGAGTAACTTTGGTGTTTCTAGCTGAGCGTTTACAAGGCTGGGCTGGGTGTGCAAAGCACTCAGGAACTTGCTTTCACTCCTCTTGTTCTACAGATACTGCTCCTGCAGGACATATGGTCATGTTTGCAGAACTGGCTTCAAACGTGACTGAAAAGATGTTTGAATACATGGTTAGGACATATTTATTTATTAGAGCAGATTCTATTATTAGAATAATTTATTTATTATTATTTTTTATTGATGCAAATATATTATCAACTCCTTTCTTTTTTGCTCTGATTTTTATCTTTTATATATTCTAGCTTCAAAACTGTGTCTCTGTTAGGAGGCAGGACTAACCTGAGCCACGTTAAATCAGTTGTGTTCATACCATTTGACCTCCAGTGGAGGTAACGCCATGATTAATGAGGAATCCTAGTTCCTAATTTCTTTTCTGAAATATCCTTTTTTCCCCCCATAAATAATACAATATAATTTACTTTTTATTCTTGTAATAAGCTGTCTCAGCTTCTGTGATGTATTTTCCAATCTTTGATGGTTAATTTCTGCCACGTAGATTAAAGTATGACTTGAAACCAGCATATTTTTTCCTGTGATGTTGATGTGACTTCAAGGTGTTGAAAAGATTTTTCTATCCTCTTTTGGTGTGATATATGGATGAACACTTTGTGTAGCAGTGGATCTTGGAATCCCTTAATGTGCAGGCAAACTCCTTAGAGCTGGCCTGGCAAGTTCTTCAGTATTTCAAACTATATTTAAAAAAAGAAAAAGCAACCATCTTAGTTCTAGGGCTGTGAAGATAGTATCAAGATGTTAAGCTTTGCAGTGCTGTTTCTTCTGAGTTTGCAAACCTACTTCCCAAGGCCGTTTCCTTTCTCTGTGGCTGCCCTTTTCACTGAAGAGAATGGCTAAAATGGGCACTTCTGCGAGACAGTGTACGGACGGGTAGTAAGTCAGCAATAGGCAGAAAGCATCCCTGAACGTAGGCGTTAATGCCAAGAGCAATTGTGCTCATGCTTGAGTTATGCTCACAGTGCATATGCGGTGCAATATAGGGGCACCTGAAGCCTTCTAGGAACGTGTAGGGCTGTGCAAGTCTGAAGATCTCGGCTGTGCACGTGGAGAAGGTTCTGTTGTTGCC